CAAACTGGCAAGCTTTTTATAATAACTTCTTTTTCCACCTGTTCTCAAACATATTGTATACACAAGAGGATCGGCCTAGTCTTTTCATTCTTCTCCATCAGAAACCTTCAAACAACTACCCATGCTAATGAACACATGCATGATTATAGATTTTGATAATATAGTATGTATATCTTGTAAAGCAAGGAGCCATGAGAGGAATCAGATGAAAAGCTTCCTAAAAGGAATTCTAGATCAGACATTCCTGAGTCCCAGACCAAGAATCTTTCCTCTTTCTGGTTGCATCCAGCATTTTCAGGCATCTTGCCCAGGATATCTGTTTCCTTTCATCCCAATCACTGTCAGCTTGGCTTTCCCACACTCCAGCCTGCTTTGGAAAGCTCTGTCCAACTCACATGACTAGAAGCTGATTTCTACAATGAAGAATGTCAATAATGCTTACAGGTTCCTCCGGCTGCCAAAGCTTGAGTTACTCATGTAACTAGACCAAAAGGAGGTAGAGGGTGGTTTGTGAACCCTCCAGATAATTGCCTCTTTTCCACTTTGTCTGCAAAGACCTGATAAAGGCTCTTCTTCCTCCTACTATCTTGACCTGGGTTTCAAGCATCCTTCTTTCATTGTCTTTCCCAGACTTCACGACACAATCAATCATTCAATGAAAAGTGATGGAGCCTCCACTCTGGCGGGTGATGAAGACAAAGATGAATAAGTTCTCAATCAACAGGAACATACCACAGAATAAAAATGTGGTATTTGCGTGAGGAAGAAGCATAGATCTGCTGAAGGGGAAGGGAGATCTTCTGAGAATGATCAGGGAAAACTTCAGAAGGGAGGTGGTGTTTGAGTTGGACCTTGAAAAACCAGTGGGATTTCAAGATGAAAATACAGAGGGGGCGGATCTCAGTTGAACGAAATAGATGAGCAAAGGATGTGAACACAAAACCTAAAGATGTACATTCAAAAGAGAGACAGGGATTTTCCTCATGGTCCAGTGGTTAAGACTCTGCCTACAATGCAGGGGGTGTGGGTTTGATCCCTGGCCAGAGAACTAAGGCCCCACATACCAAGGTGTGCAACCAAAAAACAAACAAACAAAAAACCCAAAACAATAAACCAACAGGGATAGGTGTAATGGGTTTCCTGCTGGGGGCCAGTGGGAGGTCACAATGAGTGTTTGACACAGGGTTGTGAACCAGATTGAAAGGGCTTAGCGCCTGTCCTTCAGGAAATAGGAGAGACTTGAGGTTTGCAGCCAGGTGGCAATGTCATAAAAATTGTCCAATCAAAGGACTGAGGGGGAAGTCCAGGTTAGGGGGTGGGATGAGAGTAGGCTGGGATGACGACACAACAGTCCAGGCAGGAAGACTGGGGAAGGGAGCGACAACGGGAGTCACAACATGAATACTGGCATTTCTGTGTATCTATGGGGAGCTACGTGAGAAGAGGAAGGCAAAGAAAATGAAGACCAGGCTTCCTGCCTGGAGACTGAGGGCACACACTGGTATAAGGGAGAGAAGCATGGAACAGATGAATGAAAGATTGAGATCCATTGAGTCCAAGTGACTGTGGAACAGCAGGGTAAAAATATCTACCTGGCAGCTGAAAATGTGAGTGAAAATGAGTTGCTCAGTCGTGTCCAGCTCTTTGCAACCCCATGAGCTATATAGTCCATGGAATTCTCCAGGCCAGAATACTGGAGTGGGTAGCCATTACCTTCTCCAGGGGATTGTTCCAACCCAGGGATCAAACCCAGGTCTCCCTCATTGCAGGTGGATTCTTTACCAGCTGAGCCAGCAGGGAAGCCCAAGAATACTGGAGTGAGTAGCCTAGCCCTTCTCCAGGGGAATCTTCCTGACCCAGGAATCGAACTGGGATCTCCTGTATGGTAGGCGGATTCTTTACCAACTGAGCTATGGGGGAAGCTACTTGGCAGCTGAAAATGTGACTGCACTTCTGATGGAGGCTGAAGAGAACAACCTGGTGATCATTCATCTAGTCAGCCTACATTCCTGGACTAGCAAACCAGAAGCTTGTTGCCAGGGCAGCTAACCTAGAAGCCATACCAGATGTGAGGGGTTTACATGGTACTGATTCCTCATCAGGAAGCATCCTTATCCCCGTTTTCCTGATGGAGATGCTGTGGCTCAGAGACCTTACGTAACAACATACTGGAGCAGCAGCAAGGGCTCTGATTTCCACCTCCTGCCCTTGCTTTCCCACCGAGATGGGACAGCTCTCCTCCTCCTTCTGTTCTCGAGTCCCCAGGCACCAAGTACTACCAGGCGCTCCTGGGCCCATTCATATCTTTCCTCCTGTTCTGATCTGGGTTCATTCCACTTGACTGAAACCCTCTTAATTGGCCCTGATTATATGCAGTGCCATTCTCTATCACATCATGGCTCTTAACCTAGTTAGCCGCTCACTCTCTGCTACTGAGGATTCCAAGATACTGTACTTTTAGCTCTGGTGTCCTGAATTCTGTCCAGCATCCCAACAGGATAGGAGCCCTGGTGTTAGCTTTGGGCCCTGTGACCAGTGGCCCTGCAGAACACAGGTGGTCCAGCTATCAGACCTGCTTTCTACATCTTGTCATCAGGACACCAAAAGCTGCCCAAAAAAAGCCTCACGTGCCACTCATGTAGCATTAAAATACAATCATCTTCTTCCCCGCAGCAATCTGGTGGTCGCTTTGATTTCTCCATCACTGTTTCAATGACTCCCTGGCAAAATGATAAATCAGAAACTGTATAACAGCCATTGACGTTTCCTCCGTCTTTACTGTGAAACTCATGGTTCAATAGCTTTCAGCATCTCCAGCCCATTTAGCAGCTCTCCAGGGAAAGTCCTGTTTTCTTACTAATTGTGTGTCTTGCTATTCCTGGTTAACCGGTTCTGATTGGAAAATTCTAGGTTCTATGTGCTCGCTCTCACCGGCGCCTTCCCAGCATCTCTGATAACGCAGGCCATAAACGGATTCTCACCGCATGGCAGGTGAAAATGATTACTCTCCTTCCAGACCAGGAAGTGGCTGCCCAGAACGGACCATGACTCATCCCGCTCCCTGGATCTTTTTAATGAACTATTCACCACCAACCGCTCTGACTTCAAGTCCTACACAAATCATCCCCGGCTTGAGTTTTTGCTCCCCTTCCCCGTTTTTAATTTTCAGAGATAGCACGTTAATATTCAGTGTGCTGTGAGGGGAGCTGGCAACGCGGGGTGAGGTGTAGCATGATTAGGCTTCAAGAGGAGAAGAGAGGAAGGGAAGGCGTGGAGGAGAGAGAAGGCCTGAGTGTTACAGCTCAGGAGATGGCTCTGGAAGGAATAGACAGGCAGGCTATCTTCAAAAAAGTTGTTTTTAAAATATATAATTTTTTTCTTTTTTTGCCACACTGCACGGCATGAGGGATCTTAGTTCCTTGATGGGGGGTGGAACCAGGGCACCCTCTATTGGAAGGCAGAGTGTTAACCACTGGACTGCCAGGGAAGTACTGAGAAAGTTCTTATTAGTCTGTCTATACACTCCTCTTCCTCCTTCAAATCCAAACCACAGGACCGTCCTCAGTCAGGTGCCCTTTGCTGCTGTCACTCAAAGCACTGAGATCTCTTAACTTTCCCATATGTCTACACAGCAGGACCAAAATCACGTTTCCTTTTCGGCCTTCCAACCAGCATGTGAGGGCAGAGGCCCTGGCCTGTTCAACCTTGAGCTCCCAACATTTGAATAATGAGTTTATCTAGAGTGGACTGAACCTTTGTGAAAGTAGTGAGGTCTCCATTTCTGGAGGTATTTAATCTGAGACTGTTACAGAGGGGCTTTAAACACGCAACAGTCATTCTGTTATTTTTAGATTTCCTAACATCCTAAGTGGGCTTCGCCAGTGTCTCAGTGGTAAAGAATCCATCTGCCAATGCAAGAAACGTAGGAGACCCGGGTTTGGTCCCTGCCTGGGTCAGGCAGATCCCCTGGAGAAGGAAATGGCAACACACTCCAGTATTCTTGCCTGGGAAATCCCATGGACAGACGAGCCTGTCGGGCTACAGTCCATAGGATTGCAAAGAGTTGGACACAACTGAGTGACTAAACAACAGCAACATCCTAAGTGCATTCTTGTAAGTGATTTCATCAATCACAAGTGGTTTTTAAAAAATGTAACTAAACTATGCACAATAGGCCTCAAAATGACTGTAAAACTTGGTTTAAGATTCGGATTTTTAATAATGATTGATCCTCGAAATTATTAATTTTTTTTTCAGGCCAACATTTTTAATTATAAGCACCAGTCTATATGTGTTTATTGAACACATACTATATTCCCCACCCTGGAGAAAAAAGAATCAGACAAAGCCCTGCCCTCAACAACTTACACCACAGGCAGGAGGAAACCTCCCTTAAGGGGACTTAGACATCATAGCGTAGTTACACAATTTTGGTTTTACACCCCTGCTCCTCGGAACTGAGAATGTTCCCTGAGGTTACTGCAGTTCTAAGGAGCCTATTAAAAAGCCCTCCTTGGAAACTACTGTTACAGGCAAGGATTTTAACCCCTTGGTGTCATGAAGTCTCTGAACGTATGTAATTGATCCAGGAGGGAATGCCTGTGGCAGATAAGAGAAGGCCTGCAAGGTCATTTCCAAACCAACGTGAACTGACCGCTTCCCTACTGTAAGTGAAGTGTTGGTGCACCCTGCCCACCTCCATCTGAGGACAATTCCAGTCTGGGAAGGACGAACCTCCCCCGGCCCTCCAGGAACTATCATTAGCAGAAATGAATCCAGACTCCGCGTTACCAGATTAGAGTCTGTTTCTAATCAAATGGAGTTTAATTTAAGCCGGAATTAAAATTGGGATTTACAGCCCTTTCCACTTTCATTCATTTCGTGCTTTCTAGCCCCTTCCCCGCCCAGTCTTAATCCAGTGCACTTGGCAGGGGATTACACAGGAGTTGACCACGAGCCGGGGCTGGGGGCGCGGGAGACTGGAGCCTTCAGCCCCCTAGGAGAGAGGTGGCCAGGGCCGGGAGCCCGACCTCTGGCCTGAGCCATCCTCGCCTTGCCTCGGGAATCTTTGGCGTTTCACTGCGCTACCCCGCGTTCTCCCTTTCCGCGTCTTTGGGCGCCGCCCTCGCTCCCGCGAGGATTTCGGCTCCAGCATCTCCGGCTATCCCTACGCAGAAGCTTCACTTCTGCAGAATGAAAAGCGAAAGCCGCGGCCGGCGGGCGGAGTTGGGGGCCGAATGCGCCGCGTGGCTACTGCTTGGAAGCCGCAGCGGCCGCGAGGGCGATCCCCACGCGGCGCCGAACCCGACCTCAACTTCAGCGCTAGTGAGGCGTCCCCGGAGCCCACCGCAGCCCGGATGCACCCCCTCCCCCCCGCGACACACACCGGCGTCGAGCCCCCCCTGTACCCGCGGCCCCGGGAGCCCTCCACAGCTGGTCCCCAGCCTCCCCCACCGCCTGCAGCGCGCCCCCCCGCCGGCCGGTTCCTCCGCCTGCGACTCGGACGCGCCAAAGGCAGTTCGGCGGCTCAGCGACCCCAACTTCGGCTTCCCGAGGGACACGACACCCTCAGCAAAGCGCGGAATCACCTCCGCCGGCCTCTTCCGAAGTCCCTACACCCGGGCGAGGGGCATTCCTCTGGATTTTGGAAACCTTCCCCATTCGCCCCGGGAGAAACTGGATCTCCGTCCGCACCCTCTGGGCAGATGATAGCCACCCCCGGACGCGCCTAGGTGGAGTGGGGGTGGGGGCGGGCATCTGGAGCCGGAGGAGAAGAGTCAGCAGCGCTGAGTTGCTTGATGCAGCTGCGCGCGGCTGGCGAAGACCGGTGGTGGGGCCCTGCGTCTCCGCCGGGCAGGGGGAGCCGGCCCCTGCACCTCTGCCTCACGGAGGCACGCACGCACGCGCGCGCGCGCACACACACACACACACGCTCTCTCTCTCTCTCACGGCCGCCAGCACCCCCACGCCAGATCCCGGACGCGGAGGTCAGAGCCACTGTCCCAATTCACAACAGGGTCTGAAACGCCCAGATAGAGGAAGATGCCTCGCCTCTTCTCCGAGGTTTCCAACATCCCTGGAGGCCACCCAATTTCCCAGAGCGAGCGAGGATCTGGCTACAGAGTTTCCTCTCCCTGGGCCAGCGGTTCAAACTGCAGGAGGGGCGGGTGGTATGGACAGAGGGAGCACTAGAGAGCGAGCCCGCGCCACCTCCACCCTCGGCGCGGAGAACCGGCCCGCCCCACTCGCCTCCAGCGCGCGGCTGGGCGGTCGGGGCCGAGGAGCGGGACCCCGGGGCGCTCCAACTCGGGCGAGGGCAGGGAGGGGAGTGTCGGCAACAACCCCTCAGCGCGCCGGCGAAGGCACGGATCTCCGAATAGGCTGCGCCGCGGACGCGGAGGGGTGGAGGCGAGACGGGCGGAGGAGTTGCGGGGCCGGGAGGGATGACGTCCTTCGGAGCCCGGGTCTCTCAGAGACTGAAGGTTCGTGCGCTCGCCGGACCCGCGCGCTCACTCCCGGGGTTCGCAGAGGCGCCGCGCCCGGCTCCCGCTGCGGCTCCCGAACGGCGCGCACGGGGGCGATCCCGGCCCGCGGCAAGCAGGGTGCCCGCCCTCCTACCACCGCTGAGCCCCTCTCTGTCTATCCCTCGCCGCAGGTGCCCAACCGGGAGTCTCTGCGCATTCCAGGTGATTCCGGGCAAGCAGCCCCCGGCCGGGCCAGCCTCACCCCCTGCCTCGCCTTCTCCCTCCTCGACCTCGAGCCAAGGGCAGGCGCCCGCGCCGCGGCCCCTGCACACCGCACGAGCCAGCGTCCCGGCCTGCGCCCGGCTGGGAAGAGGGATGGGATACGGGAAGGAAAGGCGCTCACCTGGGTCACCGGGAGTGTCCCTCTCCGGCCCCTCCCGGAGCCTGTTCGCCGCTCCCCGGCACAACCTTCCTCGAAGAAAAAAAGTAGAGAAGGGCAGAGAGGTGGGGCTGCTCAGGGGTCCCTGCGCAGCGGCTTTTTCCTGCGGATTCTCCCGCGTCTGATCTCCGGCTCGGTGGCGGGAAAGGGCTCTCGGAGGCCGGAAGGGGCCGCCAGACCCGGGCCCTCTCGCGGCGGCGGCGGCACCTCCAACTTGCCACCTGCAGCGCGCGCGGGGCGCCTGTGACAGCCCGCGCCCCTCTGCCCGCGCCGACCCGCCCTCCGCGGCCGCTGGTTGGCTGCTCCCCGAGCCTGGGCGGTCCCCGCGCTCGGCCCCGCCCGGCTCCGTCCGCTAGCTGCGTTCGCGGTGCTGGGTTCCGGCCCAGCAGCCCCGGGCTTTATAGCCCGCGAGTGCTGCGAGCTGCTTGGGCTTTGGCGAGGATCGGGCACACACACGCGCAATTTTGTGTCGGCCAGGATTGGAGAAGAGAGAGACGGTGTGACACAAACCCTTCGCGCGCCTGAAGGGGACCTGGTAACTCGGCTCCTTTTGCTGGTATTAAATCTGTGCAGTTTCTGAAAAGAGTTCAAGTCACGGCAGAAGCGGCGGGCAGGCGAGTCCTTAAGTGTTCGGAGGCTTGTTCCCGCTTAAGCTTCACACGAGTGCACACGAAGCGCTAAAATACGACGATAAGTCCTGGGATCCGAGTCTTTTCTCACCCAACCTGCACCACCGACGCGGAGCACCTCGGGCTCCAGCGACCCCCTAGCCACTCACCCCTACCGGTGCCCACCGAGCCCCCAGGCCTGAAAGAAGGCCCAGCGCGTCAGCCACGTGCTTGCTTGATTCTGCGTCCAGGCAGAGAACACTCACGCCCGGGCATGCACAAGGCCTGCGTTTTTTCACAACCGGGCCTTTTAAGTAAACAGAGGGCGCCTGATCTTTCTTTTCCCTCCCACTGCCTCCCTAGAGACTGGGACAGGAGTTTCCTGGGCCATCGCCCGGGCATTCATGCGCACCCTTCCCTCTGTCGCTTAGAACCTCCTGAAGTCACGCTTTCTGGACAATTCCTTGGGTAAAGTCTACCGGAGGAGAAAAGCATATAAAAGGATGAAAATCCCACTCTAGGAAGTGATCCAGTTAACCAGAAACGTCTCCCTCCCTGATACACCTACGGGAGCGAGGTACAGTGCCTGTTAGTTTAATAACATTTCAAAATGAACTTCCCAAATCGCACATTTTATAGTCCACCAGGGACATATCTCTGTTTTGTGAGCGCAGGTGTGCCACTCTTCAGCATGACAGGAGTGCACACGCGGTCCTGTCTAGCTGTGCTTTCTAGACTTCTCAATAGGGGGAGGGGGAGGAAAGAGGCTTCACTAAAGAAAGTCAGGGGACAGTTGTCACCTGTCAAGGAGACTCTCGCTGTCCTCTTGTTGCTAAGTGACATGGGATGCTGCTTCGAAGCCCCAGTTCCTTGCATCTTAAGGCAGATTTTGTTTCATGAGATCCTCACAGCTTGGGTTCACTTTGGAAAATGATAGCCACTTTTTACCCCCTCTTGGCAGTCAAGTGCTAACCTTTACTTCTCAAGAAGAGGCAAGTCTGTCCTTATCCATCTTCTTAAAACTTGAAACCCAAAGAGACTAGGGTGGTGCAATTCAGAGGCAAAACATTCAAGAGGAGGTCTTTTCATATTCCAGGTTAAGTGCTTGCTAAATTCATTACACTTTCACCTGAACAGCCTGAAACTGAGGGTTGAATCAGGGTGTGGCTTGGCTCAAGCTTGAGTGTAGCTGGATTCAGTACCAGAAGGAGTACCTGATTAGAGGTGGAGGTGGGGGTGGGGATGGGGGACATGCCTCTTGTCTAATATTAGTCCACCCAGGCCTCTGATGTGTTGACAGCCAGGCCAGGCACAACTGGCTTTTCCTTAATAGCTGGGAAGGAGCTAAAGACTCAAGTGGCTGAGAAAGCGAGGAGAGATAAAATTGGAGCACCTGTGAATAGTGAGAAATCAATGGATGCTCTTTGGTCCACTGAACATACCAGTGGCTCAAGATTCGGAAGGAGGAAGTGTGAGAGAGTTCTTGGGACTTAGAGTGGCTTATGGAGTAGACAGACACAGGGCTGACTCCAGATTCCATTTTTCCTGTGTGCTGTGTTTGATTTGCAAGTGAGACAGGTTGTTAAAGTCTCATTCTGTTCATCTGTGTAAAGGGGTTCCGGGGTCCTGTGTGATGGAGCCGTAGGAAGGATTCACTGAGATAGCACAGTCTATAATGCTGGGCACAATGTCTGCTTATGGAAAGATGGAAGCATGCAGTGAATAGTAGCTATTATTGTAAACAGAGTTTAAAAAGGGCTTAAAGGTTACCTAAGACCGCTTTTATTTGCTTTTGATAGAGTATTTCTGACAACTGCTTGTGTTTTCCCTGTGATGAGAAACTGACTAGCCCCTGTTCACGCCCTCTTTTTTACTTGAAGATGAAATGTGAAACAGTACACTTCTTTTTTTTTTTTTTTACTGGTTGGTTCTGGTTCTGTTCCGCCCCTTGGCGGTCACAGACACGTCTGAGCCCTGTGTCACGAGAGAGCCCTCCGATTGTTTGAGACGAATAACAGATCCCCTGTGTGATTTCTTTCGTCCAGACGAAAGTGCCCTGGGCTTCCAGCCTTTCCTCATATGAGCTGGTTTCACAATCTTTCACCATTTCTTACCCTCCAAATTGCCTCTGACCTCCTTATAAAAGAAAGCAGTGCTCCACCCCATCTACCAGCAAAATACCTTCCCCAAGGTGCTGCAATTAGCGTGGGTGGCTAGTTTTGAATGGGACAGTGGCACTTGATACCTGAAAAATCCTTTTCATGTGTTACTGCTCATTCAGAACTTAGGGGCTCCTAGTGTCATTCGGGCTTCCCAGGTGGTGCTAGTGGTAAAGAACTCGCCTGCCAACGCAAAAGAGACATAAGACACACAGTTTCTATCCCTGGATCTGGGCGATCCCCTGGAGAAGGGCATGGCAACCCACTCCAATATTCTTGCCTGGAGAATCACCATGGACAGAGGAGCCTGGTGGGCTACAGTCCATGGGGTCACAAAGAGCCAGGCATGACTGAAGTGACTTAGCACAGCACAGCGTGCCATTCAATATTTCCTTCCTGTAAAAGGGTGGGATTAGGCCCAGGGACCAATGAAGTCACTTTTTAATGATATGAAACAATTTCAAACTTAGAACAGTAAGGAAAACACTACAAAGAACTCAGTAAGTCCTTCTGTCCTCGTTTTCTGAATTGTGGCCATTTCACATTAACCTCTCCCTTTCTCTCCAGATGGGTAGATACTCATGATCAATATTCTTTGTCTGAATCATTTAAGGGCAAGTGTAGACATGATGTCCCATTATCCTTAAACACTCCAGGATATGTTTCTCCCAAACTGGAATTCTTTCCCACATAAGTACAGTACTGCCAATCCATAGAATCCCTTCAGATTTCCCAATTTGCCGCAAAATGTTTCATTTTCATTTTTGGTCCTGAATCCAATGTAGGCTCGCACATTTCCTGAAAGTGACACATCCGGTTCTTTTCCTTTCATCTGCTACAGTTCTTCCATCTTTCATGCCCTTGATGGCTTTGAAAATGACATGCCTTTTATTCTGTAGATTTCAGAGACCTCAACTTGGATCCATCTGATGTTTCTTCATGTTTGACCCAGGTCGTGCATTTTTGTTGGGTGCATCAAAGAAATGCTACTCTACTCTAGACAGTTCACTAAGAAGCATCCCATCGTCGTGATAATAACCTTGATCACCTGGGTTGTCAGACACTGGAATCCTCCAGTGTGAAGTCAGCATTCTGTCCTGTAATTGACAAGTATAGGGACATACTCCTAGGCTACATCAATTGTCTGTTTCTCATTGAAACTTCACTCAACCAGTCTTAAGAGGCATTGATAACTCTGGCCTGAATCAGTTACTGCTATGATGGTTGCCAAATGACTATCCCCCATTTGCATCATTCCTTTTTTTCAATTGTGTATTAGCATTCTGTGAAAACAATAGTTCCCTTCCCTGCATTTATCTATTTATGGCAGTATAGACTCATGAATTCCTATTCCAGCCCACAGATCATATTATTACTTTCATTATTTATTTTGATGCTCAAACATCCAGATTTGGCCGGAGTGTGTCTCTTCAAGCTGGCTCTTCGGTCCCTCTGACCACGCCTCTGTGCTTCTCACTTTCTGGCACATCAAGATGGTGCATTTTGTACTTTCCCTGCCCCAGGCCTGGGATCAGTGAGCTCTTCAAGGAGACCTGCTTCCTTTTCATAGAGGATGGCATTTAGGAATGAGATCTGGGCACTCAAATGCTCACTGCTACTAGCAGGTCCTAACTTCTAGGCTCTCTCAGTGGGGCGAGCAAGGAAGTAAGTGACAAATGTTCACACACAAGCAGACACACACATTTATGTCTATTGCTACGTATGTGTATATCTATGCATCTATTTTTCTATCAAGCCATTTATATGTATATATCTATGAAAACATATAGAAGTAAATCCATCTCTGTATTTATCTAGAGACATAAATAGCACATCAATACTCCCAATTCTGCCTCAAACGTTCAGGGTTCACTCCAACCCTCCTCTTTATTTATAAACCTTTTCTCTAATAGAGAGTCACCTGACTCTCATTACCCTCAGAATATTGACTTACTTTCCTGACTCGCCGTGTGTAACCATCTTTTGGAAAAAATTTTGGCTGCATGGTGCAGCACGTGGGATCTTAGTTCCCCCAAGCAGGGATTGAATCCATGCCCCATGAAGCGGAAGCATGTAGTCTAAACCACTGGACCACCAGGGAAGTCCCATTGTGTAAGCATCTTCTGACCATAGTAGCCACCCCCTCCCTATTTCCTCAGCTGCTGCCCCCTGCTCCTGCAGCTCTTCTGTCTCAGGCTCCTGGGCCCCCAGAGCCGCTGTCAGCTCCTGACCATACCCCATCAGTAAAATGACTTCTCTGTCCTTGCAGTTGTGCAGGTCAAATCCCAAAGTCATGCTTGATAACCTGCTCTCTCTTAAACTGCATGCCTGATCTGTAGCAGATCCTGTTTGCTCCACCTTGAACACACTCTATAGCATCCAAATTTCTCACCACCTCCATCACTACTGTCTTGGTTCAGGTCAACCTCATCTCTTGTGTTGACTGTCATAATAGCCTCATCACTGGTCCCCTGTGTTGG